ATCTATCTATCTATCTATCTATCTATCTATCTATCTATCTATCTATCTATCTATCATATATCAATCAACCTATATAGATATCTGTCATTTATCATCTATGTATGTATGCACATATGTATGTATGTATTATGTATGTATGCATTTATCTTATATGTGCCTGCATGAGTTTATGTGCTCCATGTGTGTGAAGGTACACTTGGAGGTCAGTGGATGGCATGGGATATCTTGGAACTGGAGTTATAGGCAGTTGTGAGCTGTCTGATGTGGGTGCTGGGCACTGAACCTGGGTCCTTTGTAAGAGCAGTGAGTGCTCTTAATCTCTGAGCCATCTCTCCAGCCTGGAAGAGTTATCTTAACTTTTTTAAATGAATGAATGAATTTTAATTAATTAATTGATTGATTCAATTTACATCCCTATCTTAGCCTCCTCCCTCCTCTCCTCCCAGGCCCACCCTCCCTTATTCCTCAGATAAGGAGAGTCCTCCCACCCACCCTCCCCAGTTCATCAAGTTCATTCAGGACTGAGTGAATCCTCTTCCCCCACGGCCTGTTGAGGCAGCCCTGCCAGGAGGAGTGATTAGAAAACAGGTAACAGAGACAGTCCCTGCTCCCCTTATTAGGGCACCCACAGGAAGCCTGAGCTGCCCATCTGCTACATCTGTGTAGGAGGTCTAGATCCAGTCTATGCATTGTCCTTGGTTGGTGCTTCAGTGTGCAAAAACCCCTCTAGGCCCTGGTTAGTTGGCTCTGTTGGTCTTTTTTGTGGAGCTTCTGCAACCTCCAGATCCTTCTATCCTTCCTCACACTCTTCCATAAGGCTCCCTATGCTTCGCCCAGCCCAGTGTTTGGCTGTGAATCTCAGCATCTGTTTTGATCTGCTGCTGGGTGGAGCCTCTCAGAGGACAGCTATGCTAGGCTCCTGTTTGTGAGCATAGCTGAGTATCCTTAATAGTGTCAGGGGTCTCTCCCATGGGTTGGGTCTCAGGTTGGGCCAGGCGTTGGTTGAGCATGCTCTATCTTTCACCTGCTGTGTCTTTCACCCTGCACATCTTGTAAGCAGGGTAAATTTTGGGTTGAAGTTTTTGTAGGTGGGTTGGTGTTCCCCTCCCTCCACTAGGCGTCCTGTTTCCTCAGAGGAAGCTATCTTAACGTTCACTCTGAAAGACAGCTGAT